ACAGGAAAAGTAGCAACGCCAGAACAAGTATGGATAATGACTGTAACTAGCACATTTAGACATTTTTCACTATTATTTAATAGTCATATTACAACTAAAAACTTTTACAAAAACTTTTACAAAACAAGTCATGTCTTTAAATGCTTACCTATTTAATTTATTATTAATTAAGCGTCCTTTGCTTCTCGTGTCATCGATCATGAACATCCATCGACTTCTCGATAACTCTGAAGAGGTCTATTCTCATGCTGCCTTTAATAAAAAATCTGATCAAGAATACAATAATCAAGAGATTCAAAACGAAAATAAAAGCGTTGGACCCAGCTTTATTTTTGGTGGCAATCTACCAACTTACAATTGTTTTACAAGTTGTGATAACCAAAATTCTTCTGCCCATACATTATCGTCGTTGCCTTCACTTATTCGTTCCTATGAATTCTCTCCCCAACCACCACCAATTACGGGTAAAGAAAATATTTATTATGAACCACGCGAAAAACTGTTACTGGATGGCGCGGAGCTTTGGTCTCAATTCTATAGTGTTGAAAACGAAATGATCATCACAAAATCTGGCAGATGCATGTTTCCACTATTAAAATTTAAACCTATGAACCTTGATCCATCGGCTACATATTCTTTTATCGTTGATTTTATTCAAGTATCTCCTACTCGTTTTCGGTTTAAAAAAGGAAGTTGGGTTTCTATCGGTGTAGATAAACGTAAATTTTCCCTAAACAATTTAAATAGTCGAAACGGGAGAATTAAAACTGGCATGGTTGGAGGTCGTCCATTTAAGCATCCTGACTCCCCTCAATCTGGTAATTTTAATAAATTTAGAATTTATCTAAATTTAATGAAAAATTTAATGAAAAATTTAATGAAAAATTTAATGAAAAATTAATGAAATTGTATTTATTCTATATAATAATAGGTGCTTATTGGATGAATTGTGGTATCAATTTCCCAAAAATTAAACTCACAAATCGACCTTGTCACAACCAATTAAAATCAAAAAAACGTGGCCGTCCGCGGAATTCCGGTTCAAATAATTTGTCTTCCTTACCTGATGGTCATTTTTGTTTGACCTCTTTTCATAAGTATCAACCTCGTGTGAAAATGGTTAAACATGCGACCAATATTAATGATAATGACCAAGAAATAGTCACCGCGTTCGAAGAGACTACTTTTATTGCTGTTACTCATTATCAAAATGATGCTGTTAATTCTTTAAAGAAAAATTATAATCCTCACGCTAAAGGATTTAAAGATATGGACTCCATAGACATGAACTGTGATCAATTGTACTATTCTAATGAAGTTGAAATTTCGGGTAATGAGTCCCAAAATGAATTTGATGATTCTGACTTTGAAGATTCCGACTTTGAATGTACCGACGATAATCTCCGAACCAAAATTGGATTAAATAGTGATTCCTATTTTAATTCGACTTCATCAACTTGTGTTACAACTTCATTAAATCTTTCAACATCTGAAAAATCTACTACATCAACAAATAATATTAAACCAAATTCTACGGACCGTAATTCAGATGAAGGAATTCGAACTCGTCAATTGAGTATTTATCACAGTGACTATCGTGCTAAAATTGTAAAGCCAACGACATATACCTTGAAAGAGCAAAAACAAGATAATGAAACCCGTAATTGGTTAGATTTAAACACCAATCCAAAAAAACCATCTTCTAAACAACGTCCAAAACCTGACAAACCTATTTTAATCCCCTCTTTCAAATTGTTGGATCCACTTAATCAAAATCTTACTCCCATCTCTCCATACAAGACTGACCAACAATCTACTGCAACTGGATTTCCCTGGATTACTAAACGTGCTGGTAATGAATATAGTAGAGACATTAATATGACACAAAAACAATTTATGTTAAATGCTTTTCAGTCAAAAGATGATTTAAAAGACGATTCAAAAGATAGTTCAAAAGATGATTCTAAATACGATTCAAAATATGATTCAAAATATGATTCTAAATACGATTCAAAATATGAATTACCACAACAATTTAAGCATCAAAATATGCCTCGATTGGCCTTTCCAATCACCCCGCCAACGCCAATTTCTCCTAATAGTCCATTTAATCCGTATTTATCTCGTCTTGAACGTGCTGAAAATGAAAACATGAAATTGAGAGAATTCATCCGTGAAAGATACGGTATTGAAGCAGAAAAAGAAGCCGACGCTGTGGTCGTACTTGGAAGGAATTCCTAATAAAAATGAACTTTAAAAAGTATAAGTCTATAATTTTTATGATTTATATTTAATTAGATACATGTGCTAACACGTCTCTCTCTTTAGACTCTACATGTTTTTTTGCCGATTTTTTTTATCTTTGGTAAAGTTCAAAAAGTACTTTTGTTTTTTCAATTTTCTGTTTCTTTTTTTTCTTTTTTTTTCTTTTTTCTTTTTTTTTCTTTTTTCTTTTTTTTTCTTTTTTCTTTTTTTTCTTTTTTTATCTTTGTTTTGTTTTGAACATTATTCATTTGTCTTTTCTGCAGGTGTTTTGCCCTTCTTAAATTGGTTGTGGG